GATGTTGAGATCTTTGGCTAAACAAGAGACGCCACTTGATCTGCAGTTGTCGCGCGTAGATTATCGATGCAATTGTTGATCTTGATTCTGTGACTGGAGATCACTTTAGATCCGAGCGGGTTTCTGGAGGGTAAATTACCACTCAGAGAACAGCGTTTTGAGGCGAAGCCTCTATTTTGCCGTGATTCATATCTAATCCTTAAAATCTCCTTTCCTACAACGACAAACCAGGCCCAGCTTTATTCTCAGCGACAGTCGCATGTCCGTGTGCATTTATGGTTGCACTTTTCCTGACATTATTAAAACAAGTTACATCACTTTATTTTTTTTTTACACATTTCCATACCAGGGAACTTCAGCACAGATAGATATGGAAAGAGACCAATTGTTTAGGAGTTTTTTTGATGGGATTTTTTGATTTGTGTCCTGGGGAAAACGTGAAAAATAGAGCGTCTTTGTTACTCCCGCCCCCTTCTCCCTCCTTGCTTCCTTCCTCCCATCCCGCCCTCCCACTGCTCAGGTGCCTGTTCTCGTTGCAGTCGCTGGCAGTGTGGTGCAGTCTGGTTCTCCCACATTCCTCCGTGCTCCTGTTGAATGGAAAAGCTCACAAGGGGCTGAAATCTCTCCTCATCTCCCATTCCTCATAACTTTCCCATCTTTTGTACTTCTCCTCGTTCCTTTTTCCTTTTAGTATATCTTATTTTCTGCTTGTTCTTACGTCAGCTACTCCATTTTATATCCGTGTTTGAGTTAGTCACACGTTGGCTCTTACTATTATTGTTATTAGTGCACTCTGACACCATATTAGGAAAAGGCGTGAGGATCAGCTAAAGTGCTAGCTCTGTTGTTTACATACGCAGGCTCTGAGGCTTTCAAGGGAACTCCGGTGTTTGCAGCATCCGGGAGAGAATCAGGGGAAAGTGTCTCTCGTAGGACGCGGTCTCTGCCGTCACTGTGGTGGGATACGGTTGCTGTTCTGGTCAGTGATCATTGAACTTTACGATAAGTCAGTTTTCCAAATCGACTTGACTTTCCTTCAAGCAGAAGATCAAGGTTGAAATGTTCTGTTCTGCCACGTTCTTGCCCTGATTATCTGTCCATGAGGAATACGTTAGCTGTGTCCAGAATCCCTATGCTATATACTAATTAGATGAAAGTTTTAAGACATTTATATTGAGCATGTTGTTAGTTCAGGTAGGACACAAAGCCAAACTCACAATCACGAGGCGCTGTGTTTCAGCTGTTTTAACCTGCCTAACCTTGCTGCCTCCTCTGCAAGCTGCTCCTCTTCTCTATACTCTGTAGTATCAATCCAAGTAGGACACATTTTCTGTACACCTGTGCAGTCTAATGCAGTCCAGTGCAGCTGTTCTGCCCTTTAGTCTTTTGACCTATCGCATCGACACTAGTATAACAGTTAAGGAAGTATTCTTTACGACTTTTTTTTAGACAAAAATCTTTTCTTTATCAAATTATAGAATCATTTCTTTCTGAGGTATAAACTGTGCAAAATAATACATATTTCCTCTTCTCATTAAAAGTCTTTGACACCACGATTCCTTCATTCCTTCATCTCAACAATTTGAATCTTGACATATTTGTGTCTCAATTCCACCTGCGATACATCTCTATACTCTCAATCTCAGTATTTTTGCTCCTCTGTAAATCATCACATCATTAGATATAGTGACACATCTGTAAGTAGATACTTCACTCACAGCACTGAACTGTCAGTTTGCTGACAAACCTGCAACCCGAGCTTGAGAAACCCTTCTGAAGGGCCTCTCATCAGCGGTCAGTGAATGTCGAGCTGAGGGAACTTCAGTGAGAAATCCACTTTAGGTATAATGTAGGCCCTGTGTAGAACAGGAGAATCCATCCCAATACACACAGAGACAATTCAACTTTCAAGACGATTGTTTCACAGTAGTTTTTGGGTGGAGTCAAGCATCTTAAGTATCTGCTTGTGTGTATGTATTGACTACGTGGACTGCTAAATATATCTGCGTAAGTGCCTCAGTTATCTCCTAATATCTGATCAATCGTGGTTCCTGTCTGCCCATCCTGCTCATGTTTGAGTGTTTTCTGATCCTCAGGGAGCTGGGAGATGTTGAAGTCCGTATCGAGCAGCGTACTCTTCACACAATCTCCGCAGACCTGTCCACGTTTGCTTTCGGCCTATGGGCCTATCTTCGTATGACTCAGTGTTGCACCATGGGATGCGTTAACCCCCCAGTGTGCCGGATTACATCCTGGCAGGAGTTGAATCAAAGCTTGCATGACTGTACGTGTGTGCTTGAAATCGTTCACGTTCACGCAGTTTACACACCCACACATCTCCACAGTGGGATCCTTCCACATCTTTGAGAATTCCCATACCTGTGTAATTATGTTATGCTCGCACATTACACTTAAAACACCCACTAAGCCTCAGCTGTCCGTGCAGTACACAACAACCACCTACGTGTTCTTTTTACAGCCACCGTCAGTTCCTTCCTCCTCGTCTGTTAATAACCCTCCTCGTCCTGTCTATCAGACTCACACAAGTGTCCTGGAAACACATGCATGTGTTGGAAAAGGGGGGGAAAAAAAAAAAAAGGATGTAAGACACAACTGTGGTTGGGTGTTAGTGTGCGATAGAGCCTCGTTTCCCAGAGAACCAGGAACAGCTGCTCATACGCACACACACACACCTACACACACGCCACATACACTCTGTCTGGAACCGAGAGCGCCTCTATTCACAAAGGAACAAGGCTGTTTCATGTGTGTGTGACTGTCTCTGTTTCAGCTGGCCTGAAATAGCCGGTCTCGCAGTGAGTCACTCCGCAATGACTCGAGGGCTGGATTGGACTTGGTGTGTGAACACGGCACTCCAACTTTCTGTGGGTGCACTCGACTGTCTGAGCGTGTTTGTCTTTGTCTGCGTTTATGATGACAGTGCGATGTGGTCGCTGTTCTCAGGCCGTAATAGATGTATTGGGCAGCGGGATGGAAAGGAGAAGCGACAGTCCTAATTAGCTGTCGTGAGGTGAAACTGTTTCTGTCCTTGTCGTCTCACCAGTATTAAAACTCGGCTTCATTAGAGCCCGCTGCCCCTTTGTTGAAGCTTTGTTTTTAGATGCTATATGATTCAGAACAGATTGACTCAACAGATAGGAATGACCTTGGATGTATGTGTTTCAGAGTGTCCTGTTCTCTAGAGCATTTGCATGCTTAACGGTCCTAACCAAACTTGGAACAGCACCAAGGATACTCTAGTCTACTCTGAACTGTAACGGTTCCTGAATGAGCATCTTTCACCTTCTGTCAGGATGCATTAAAACAGCAATTACACAGTTCTTACTTACTTTGAGCCCGGTCACACAGACAGTCTTCATTAATTGTGTATGTAAATGAACAGTGTCTTAAAAATAATCAAAAAACGAATCACAATTTCAACAAAATGGCATTAAGAGATTTTTTTTTCCGGTGCTTCGACATCATATTTCCTCATGGAGCAGGTTGTGTGTGGGTCAGGCTTGATTTGAAGTATTAATATTAGTTTATTAGTGTTCTGACATCCACATGCCCTCGTCTAAGCCAAAGATGCTGCTGCCAGGATCATAAAGGAACAAATGAGTTTCATATGATGGCGGAGTATAGCTGGAAGTCCCCGTCCCAGTCTATCAGACCAGCAGTCCACAACCTAAAGACATTTCATATGCGTTGATTATAAAATGAATGAATTATAATTTTTTGATTGTTTAATCAATTAATTGATTATTAAAATGGTTGGTGTTATTTCTCTGTCGACTGAAGACTCATTTCAGTCTCATTTGACTTATAACAGGAAAACATGACAACCCAGAAATCCCTTTTGGGACTTAAAGTGCTGCATCCTTACTCATCATTGGCTTTCTTCCCAGGTCTGCACATGGGGGCGGGCAAGAGCAAGCCCAAGGAGCCGGGCCAGCGCTCCATGAGCCTGGACGGCACCATCGGCACAGGCTCAGACAGCGGCCACTTCCACCACCTGGGCCCCGCCCAGCAGACCCAGACCCCGAACAGGAGCCCTGCCGTCGGGACAGGCAGGCGGGGGCATCAAGGGCAGCACCAGCACGCCCCGACAAACACTCCTGAACTGGCTCTCTTTGGAGGGGTGGACCACACAGGCACCATCACTTCACCTCAGAGAGGACCTCTGTCAGGTACGCAACACTATGAGACGTTTGATTGTGTGGAAATATTGCAGAATATTACTGATTACAGGGAAGTTCAGTTAAATAACAAATGTAACTAAGTAAGATTTTATTCTTGCCGAGCTGAGCTACGCTAACCTAATGATTCCCCGACTCCAGCGTCATGTTGAACGGAGAATTAAATCATTCTCCTGGTCTAACTCGTAACAAGAAAGCAAATAAATGTTGTTTTTTTTTCCACAATATCGAACTGTTGCTTTAAATGTGAGTGAAACAGTAGAGAGGGATCTTCAGTGCTCAGTGACCCACAAAAGTGCTGATTATTTTTAGTATGAATGAAGTTGTGAAACTTGAACAGAAATGGGAACAGCTTTAATAAGATGTGATGATCTCTGAATCAGCCCGCAGACTTGCTTTTTGTTTCGAGATCACAAAAGTCCTGAGGAAAAAAAACCTGTTTTACATTGAGTCATAGTTACACAGAAAAATATTTCTTTCTAAACAGAAAACTGTTGCTTCCGCCGTCATCTACCAAACAGACTTAAAACCTTCTCTTTGACTTTGAAGCTTGTCGTGTGTCACACTGTCCAGATTTTGCTTGACATTAAGCTGTAATGTGTCTAGACCGACCAGATGGTTAGGTTAATGTTGCTCCATCCAGAAAGCGGAGGGCTGCTGCTGGTGTATCGGGGATGGCTCTGCTGACCGCCTCCTCCTGTGCGTCTAATGAGCCAATCAGTGATTGGCTGCAGAGTTCCCTGGGTTAGATCCCAGGTCCAATAAAAGGAAGGGGTAGAAAGCTACCTTCATACTGATGACTTTGTCCTTCACAGCGATGGGTCAACAGCAGTCTGAAAGGCGATATTCCTCATCAGGCTTTGGTAAATTGTTTCATACAGAGATGGAGCAGAAGAAAAATAACTAAGATTTATATCTTTACAGTGGATAGAGCGAATTATCATCAAAGGCTAGACCTGTATTATTGAAGATGGATTATGGTAGTGAATGTGAATAGGGCGTAGGGGGAAGTACCATTGTCTTTAATTACATTGTTCCCTAAATGGGTGTGTGTGGGTGTTTGTGTGTTTGTTTGTTTGTGTGTGTGGTTTCTTGCAGGAGGTGTCACTACATTTGTGGCGCTGTATGACTATGAGTCACGGACAGCGTCTGATTTGACCTTTAGGAAAGGCGACAGGCTGCAGATTGTCAACAACACGTAAGAATCAACAGTCCTCTCTCTCTGTCTCTGTCTC